GGATTTCATTATCAGGTGACATGGTCACATGTCACTGTAAGACACCCCCCCCCCCCCCCCCCCAGTCTCCATTCCCCATGGGCTGGCCCACACATACACAGGAAGGCTTTCAAGTAACTAAGGCCATTTACTTAATATGTTTACATCAGTGATACAAGTTTAGTCTCCTAACTCCAGATATAGAAATAATAAATGCAAACAAATAGGATGAACACACTTCATAGATTATAAGCTTTCTAATGACACCATACAAGGGGTACTTAGCATAAAGCATATTTCAGTTATGTCAATATCATAAGTATATTTCCATAAAGCATATGGAGTGCAACGTCACAGAGGGAATGGTGGTAGTACCAGGAGTGCTGAGGAGAAGAAATGCCTAACGTTATCCAACAGTGACTCCTTTGGCAGAGTAAGGAATGGTACTGCCAAGCTTCAAAGGACATCCTGTCTGATCCAAATGGACAGCTATCATGTGGAGCTGGCAAGGTTAAAACGCGGGAAATGGGGTAAGAAACTTGCTGTGACAAAGATGCAAAGGGGAGGGAGGAAGAGAAGCTGAGGTCTTCTTAGCTCAGTGGTTCTTAACCTTTACTGCAGCCTGCACCCCTTTGGTTCTCAAAATATGTTCTCGCACCCCTTAAACCTAAAAAATATGCTCTCACACCCCTTAAACCTAGATATATATTTTTGTTTGTATATTACAGTAATCGTTAAAAATGTATAATATTAATAAATACATAGGTTTGATGAAACAAAGTAGTTGTACTTACGTGCCTGTGCTTAATTTGTGTTTTCAATGATTTACCTTCTAAAAAAATCTGGTATGTCTCGCACCTCCAGAAAGGGCATCTCACTCCCCCAGGGGATGCGTGCACCCCAGGTTAAGAACCACTGTCTTAGGTGCTTGGAACGTGGAAGTGGAGAAAGCTCTGGGCTGACAGCAAGCCCCTAATATTACCCAGGTGCTTCTTACCATTGAGAACATATTACCTTCCCCCTGCAGAAAATTAAGTGAATATATTTTATTAATCATGAAATGTTTTGAAGTGACTGAGTAATCAGGGGCAGCAGAACCAGAGGACTGTGGGCGCTAGCACCCTCCCCCCTGGAAATACTGTGGGGGCTGATCTACATTAATTCCACCCCTTCCAGTCATTCTTAAATGAGTTGTTTCACATGGTTAGGCCGGGTGGGGCTCCGTGGCTGCTGGGAGTAGAGGCCAGAGCAGGGCCCAGAGGACTGTCACAGCACCTGGGGTTGGGCCAGAGACCAGGTAGGAACCACTGTGATCAGACCAGGGCTGGGTGTAGCAAGTCCAGGAGCAAGATATGAACTGCCAGCACTGGCTTCCCAACCTGGAGCCAGCTGCCCCTCCCTGCCAAATCTCGATAGCTTCCCTCCTTTCCCACCCCACTCCTATCCCTGATAGTGACACGCCAACCTTCCCTCACCCCCCCGCCCATGACTGCCCCCCACTCCTATGCAGAGCACCCACCGTGACTTCTCCTGACACCTCACTTGTCTCCCTCTCCCAGTGCTTACTATGGTGCTTAGTATGTTTAAGTTTCGCTATGCACCTCTGCTCCCTGCAGTCCAAGTGAGCTTTTGCAGCCTCTGTGAATAATGCCCTCTCCTATGCAGAGACATTTCTGCTGTGGCCATTTTTTTCCCTCAGGTTTTTCTCACTCCCTCTCCATCAGTAAAGCCATAGGGAAAATCATATTGAGTTGCATTACATAATTAATGCAAGTTAAACATTGGCATTTTCCATTAAAATCCTTCTGTCAAGGTATAATTATAAGACTCGATGAATTCCTTGTTTTATATAGATGTGAATTTTAATTAAAACTTGTGCAGTGCTTTAAACTGAGTTGCTTTACACAATTACTTGGTAAACTTGATAAATAGATGCAATCACAGTACTCTGGATTTTTAAATTGTTTTTATTTATTTTTGTCATGAGCTTTCACGAGTTTTAAGTGACACCTAGGGAAGGATGATGTGCCACAAATGGCTGAGCAAGACTTGTTCCTGAGCATTGTGCTTTTTCAAGGCAATGACTACACCCCGACTACTGCTCAGTCTGCTAAATGTAGTATCCTGCTGTACACTCTAGCCGAGGAGTTGGAAGACCTGTGTTCAAATCGCTACTCTTTTCCTCTGTGACCTTGAGCAAGTCATTAAGGCCCAGATCCTCAAAAGCATCTAACTTCCATGGAAGTTAGGAGCCTAAATACCTCTGTGGATCTGGGCCTTAGCCTCTCTCTGCCTCAGTTCTCGATCTGTAAAATGGGGGTAATAGCACTTCTCTACCTCACAGGAATGTTGTGAGGATAAATACATTAATTGTGAGGTGTTCAAATACTAAGGTGATGGGGGCCACATATATATCATTGATATATAGACACACTCCATTGGCATATGTCATAAAACCTTGCCTTCCCTTATTCCCCCAACCCTGAGTGGGATCCCTTTCAGAGGTGACCTAAAATAATAAATATTTCAGAATAATTAAAGGTGACATTTGCCCTTGTACAAAGGTTCAACACAAGGACCGTGCATTGCTTACGTCCCACATAAGTCTTGTTTTGAGGCCATAGGTATGATTTAATTGGTGCATAGCCAGTGTTGCTGACTCTTGAGATTTTATCATGAGTCTTGGAATATTTGTTGTTTTTCTTAAAACTTGAGCTCCTGGAGTCACGTGATTATATGAGTAGCTCATGGTTTTTTTAGAAAAATATATATCTTTATAGCTCATGCAGTTGCAGACAAAAGCTTGAAAATATGAAACCCTAAAAGCTCAAAAACCAGAAGGCAAGTAATAGAAAGAATCCATTGTTGATTGTTATTTTTAAATATCATGATTTTTAAGCCAATCTCAGTTTTTGGAAGGACATGACTCATGTTTTTTTGAATGCTCAGTCATGGCAATACTGTATAGGCTTGGTGCTGGACTGTTGCAAAGGGTGATTCACCCTAAAAAAACACTGTTCATTAAAAGTCAAGCCTGCTTTCCTTGAGTCACCAAAACTCCCATTAGCTCTGCAAAGAAAGCCTGAACCTGACGTGTGTGCGCACACTCAGGATCCTGAAGACTTGCAAACAAACAGGAGCCTGGACAGCTTCTCCTTGACTGAGAGTGGAATCCAGAACTTCCTGTTACTGGATTATTGAGTCAAATCTGGCTCTGGTGGCTAAAGGCAACTTCCCTTTAATGGTGCTGGCCTGTAGGCAATGAGTTAAGGGGGCTCTTTCAGTTCCTAGTGGATAGGTGGCTACACCACCCTTTGTAATTTCAAAAGAGGTGGCAGGGAGTGAACTCCCTTCCCTGTTTATGTGGAACATGAGGGAGGAGGCACACTGACATTGTGAAGCTTAGGCAGTCTGCTATCCATGCATGACTTGTTATGTGGCTACACACAGGACTTCACATTACAGTGCTGTGAGTTGAGCACCTTTATAAGTGAATTTAGCTTTCATGAAAAATGAGTGAAGTCAACAAGTGTCTTGTTTTTAATTAAAAACAGCTGGTAATTTTTGAGCTAAGGCAAAAAAAGGTGATTAAGAAAGCGAAAACGATTCTCTGCTCTTTTGCTCAGAAAATATAATTTATGCTTTTTATACTTAATCAATCAAAGCCCCAAATTAAAAGCAGAACTTGCATAGCCACCTATGAGCATTTTGTACTGCGACTGCCCTATAAACTACATTATCATTTACAATTTGCTTGTGACAT